AAATAAGGAAATAAGGAAATAAGGAAATTAGGAAATTGCAAAATTAAGAAATTTGGAAATTTAGCAATTAAATTTACATATTTATAAGTTATGTCACTCCTAAATATATAAATTTCAAAGCTCCAAAAACTTAATCCCCCAAATTCCACAAAATCCAACAATTCATCAAAATTAATTCCTCCAAAACTTACAAAACCTAAAACTAGCACAGCAAACAAAAATAACAAACTACATCATTAAAAAATACTAAAACTTCTTATCTAAAGAACCTGAACATATCTCCCACATATACGCTACTGTGCTTCACAAAGATTCCTCCACATTCTACCTTTCCACGATGCTTTATCGTAACGTGACGGTCTGATTCTAATTTGTATCTAAAATTGTTCGTTGCGATTTGTAATTCTGATGGTATATGTTGTTAAACACAGAGGAATTGTTTTCTAACTTAGAATTGATTAGATATTTTAGTTGGAGATTATACGACTCCTTAACCAGATAATCACTGTGTATATTATGTAAATATTACACGAACTTCTGCACGCAACTATGATGTTACATTATGTAATCGTGAACGATGCAAATTAAATTTGAAGCGAAGTAGTGTAAAGACTACAAGAATGAGAAATAGAGATCGGTTTAATGCTTGAATCACTTTTTTCTGCGGTAATTTGAACGGAGATACAAATCTGGAGGCATAGTTTATTAAGTTTTACTTGTCAAAATTTAATTATTTGAAAATCAGTGGCATGAACTTTAATTATTATTAGAGACATGCACGCTTAATGTGGAATATCTGGTTTCATAGCTTGTTAAAATTGGAAACACATTTTATATGCAAGGAGAATTATGGAACAAAATTAATGGATTAATGGTTAATTAGGCGAGGGTGAAATTATGGCAATGTATGAAAAAAAGGTTGAAAGTGGTGATAAAATGGTGTGGAATGTGGAATATGTGGGTTTATGAATTAGAGAAAAAATTGTTATGGAAGAATGTTGATTAAGGATCTTAAAATTAAGACAATTTGAGGAATTTAGAAAATTTTTTAAAATGTTTAAACATTTTTTTAAAAACATTTAAAAATGTTGAAATTATAAAATATGTTGAGTATTTAGAATATTTGGGATATTTATAAAATTTATGAAATTTGAAATGTTTATACAATTTAGAAGATTTACAAACACTAGACAAATTAGGGTATTTAAAAAATTTATAAAATTGAGAACAATTAGAGAAATTTAAAGAATTTAAAAAATTAGAAAAATTCGAATATTCGAAAAATTTATGAAATTGACACAAACTAGAAGAACTAGAAGAATTAAAATATTGAAAAAGTTTATACAATTGAGAAAAAATAAACAAAAATAGAAGAATTAAAATACTTAAAAAATTTATAAAATTAAGAAAAATTAGAGAAATTCGAATATTCACAAAATTTATGAAATTAAGAAAAATTGAGAAAAATTAGAAAAATTCGAATGTTCACAAAATTTATAAAATTGAGAAAAACTAGAAAAGTTAGAAAAATTAGAGTATTCAACAAACCTATAAAATTGAGAAAAATTAGAAAAGTTAGAATATTAAAAAAAAATTGTAAACTTGAGAAAAATTAGAAAAATTCGAATATTGGAAAAATTTAGAATGCGTACCTGTTCTCTCATCATCGTTACCTTTCTTGGAATATTTTGCCTAGTATTGAAGATTACATAGATGGCTATTGTTAGATTGTTAGTAATCGCATCGATTAGACAATTATGTTGCGTGGCCTATTAGAAAACAAGTAATTGTGCAGAAGTGATGGGCTACTGTAACCTTACGCTCTGATGGATAATTAATTTCTTCATTTGAGAATTTATAGAAATATTTCTGTATCTTTATTTTTCTGACATACTGAAGTTTGGAATACTAAATTACAAGTATAGAAAATTTGGAAGTACTAATTTTTAAAATTGGAAATTTGAAAATTCAGAAAATAAATTTGAAAGTTTGCAAAGATTAAAACTTGAAAGTTTAAAAAGTTGAAAAATTGAAAATTTGGAGAATTAAATTGCCTTCAAGGATTATAATATAATTTTTAATTATTATGAAATTAATTATGATATGGTTGTATTACATATTACATATTACATATTACATATTACATATTACAATTACATATTACACATTACATATTACACATTACATATTACACATTACATATTACACATTACATATTACACATTACATATTACACATTACATATTACACATTACATATTACACATCACATATCACATATTACATATTACATATTACGTATCACATATCACATATTACATATCACATATCACATATTACACGTCACATATCACAAATCACAAATCACATATTACATGTTACACATTACATATTACACATTACATATTACACATTACATATTACACATTACATATTACACATCACATATCACATATTACATATTATATATTACATATCAGATATCAGATATCACATATCACACATCACACATCACACATCACGCATCACATATCACACATCACACATCACATATCACATATCACATATCACATATCACATATCATATATTACATACTACATACTACATACTACATACTACATATTACATATCACACATTACATATTGCATTATTACATTATTATGTCATGTATTATTATATGACAACGAATTACTATATGATCAACAGTTACATAATTTTTTATTATTATGTAATCAATTATCATACGATTATCAATTATTACATACAATTATTATCAACTATTCATAACTATATCTATTTATATAACACACAGTAACACCAATTTACCAAGTTTCAAAAATCGTCCAATACATAAACGTAAAGCTCTGAACATTACAACAAACAAGTATAATACATAAACAAATATGGCGATAAAAAGATTGAGAAACACTGATCTCTGTTCTGAACGCATCGCTATTTAATTTTCAATTATTATTCTACGCGCTACTAACAGATTATCAATAACCACAACAGCTGTATAATTATGTCGTCAATTTTATATTAACTGGTATTTTTCCTTGATCGAACGGAAACTTAAAAATGAATACAAATATGCAATAAAAACGATATATTTCATTTCGTCGAGGTCATTCAACTTTTCGCTACAATATGTATAATTTATACTAATCACGTAAGTTCGCTTATTTAATGGAGCATAGTGATTGCCAGCGAATGACTCAACAGTAACGATTGCTTCAAAATAAACTTATAGATAACGACGATAACGAATAATAATCACTTTCTCGTGGCATTAATGTTGTTAAATTATATTGCTCTTACATAACATGATGCAAATCATTTTGCTCGTTACGCGATCGAAATATTTGACGGTAGGAAATTTTTATTTTGGGATAATTTTTTAAGTAGGATAGATTGTTCGATATGAACGCGATAATTAGCCGGTCGACGGTGTTCACCGATTTCATTTGAATTCGCTGAAAAGCTCTTCAACGGCAAATTCTGATCGCGATTGTATGGTAATTCTTCGACTTCCCGCTGTTCCTTCGTTCCGTTGGAAAATTTATACAATGCAAACAGGGACGGGCCTAGGAATTTCAACGCCGAGGACGATATAACCTAACCTGAATTACCGCATTCCTACTTCTTTTTATTTCCATGTATCTAACTTAACAATTTCGGTTCTTTATTTTTGCAAGGATCAATTTTTTAATCTGCTGTTTAGTTTTACAGTTTTTCAATTTTTCCGTTTTTCCATTTTTCAATTTTTCAATTTTTCAATTTTTCAATTTTTTCAATTTTTCAAGATTTCAATTTTTCCATTTTTCAATTTTTCAATTTTTCAATTTTTAAGTTTTTCAATTTTTTAATTTTTCAGGTTTTCAAGTTTTTTTATTTCTAAATTATCGAGTTCCAAATTTTCAATTATTCGATTATCGAATTATTGAATTATTGAATTATTGAATTATTGAATTATTGAATTATTCAATTTTTCAATCAGTCGATTATCAGATTATTCAACTATTCGATTATTTTTTAATTCAATTGTGAATGTATTCAGTTGTTCAGTTCTTCAGTTGTTAAGTCACTCGATTATTCCGTTATTCAATAATTCAATACTTTAATAGTTCAATAATTCAATAATTTAATAATTCAATAATTCAATAATTCAATAATTCAATAGTTCAATAATTCAATAATTCAGTAATTCAATAATTCAATAGTTCAATAGTTCGATAGTTCAATAGTTCAATAATTCAGCAATTCAATAACTCAATAACTCACTAATTCAATAATTAAATAATTCAATAATTCAATAATTCATTAACTCAATGATTCAATAATTCATTTAATCAATTATTCACTTCGATTATTCAACTATTCAATTATTCAGTTACTCAGTTTTCTGCCCTTCAAATTTTCCAATTTTTTCAAAACTCATTTCTAAATTCACGGTCAACATCCACCATAAACACAATTTTATCAGTATCACAGATTACTCCGTTACTATTAAGAACACTGAGATATTGATAAAATGTATCGATCATCTAATTTTTTATTAGGGTACTATAATCTTTTATTACCTAGTGATATCATACATAGCCCCAACAGGAATATATTGCTTTCTCATAACCTTGTCATTACAACTGATTATATTCCAATTTCGAGTAAATTAGATCCTCGATAAATTTTTCTAAACCAAAATATTACTGCCACGCACCTGTTGCGTCGTCAGTCGTTTCGTTCCTGGTTCAGTGCTGTACTAACACCTTTAGGTGCCATAACTAAAAATTATTACAAGTCACTTTATATCTTTATGTCAATACATTGTTATACTTTCGACAATTTGACATAATTATTAACAGAATATTTTTAACAAAATTCTATTAATTTTCTATTAAGTTTAAATTCAATCAGTTACAAATTACATTAATATTTACAGCTTACTTTACAAATAGTTTAATATTTACTTAATAAATTACAATAATATTTACAAGTCATATTCGATATCTTCAATATTTACAAGACAGTAAATATTAAAGTCGAAACAAGATCAGAGATCTTGGCCTTTTTAAACAATATTTTGTCATTCTTTGCTGACATAACATTTATCAATATTTATAGTTACATATTGTCATCAACACAAGTTAAACAAAAAATTGCAAAAATATAGATCATAAAATTTCTGAAAGATTTTCAAGATCCGAAAAATTGTTTCCCGGAGTGCGTGTTTTGTTAATTGATTGATTCATCACTGGTTTGGCTGCAAAACGAAACGAAATATCGCTGGCGAATTTTTGTCAATGACTCTTTCGTGAACCGTGTCGGCACGATAAAAACGAGACTCGCTAATTGGTCAAAGATGCGCGGATCTCTGGAAGATTTACGTAACACGTGAATTTACCAGCTACGATAACGCGAACGGTGACGGGAACACGATCAGACGACTCGATTTTAATGCTAAAAATCGACAAGATTCGAGATCCTCCTGGTCCTTCTCAAGGTGATACGAGACGCGAGAATCGTGAGTAACAAAACAAGAAAAGAGAATTAACGTGACAAAAGATTCGTCACGGAATTGACAGTTTCGAAATGATATTCTTTATGTCGATAACCAGTTAAGAATTCTAATGACGTCACGCACGTAATATCTATCCTCGTGGTTTACACCGTTTCAAGCAGTGATCGCAGAATGTACCGCCATGCTGCTCTAAACCGGACGTGATCTAAAATGGCGGTAAAATTCAAATCTATTTCTGTGAAAACGAATTGTCATAATAAAGCATCGAAAATTTTCTAATTTGATGTTAAATACTATTTAGTCTATAATTGTACAATTTTTTAATACAAATTTTTCAGAAATTCGTTTAAATTCTATAAAGTATTCTACTCTATGTAAAGTATTCAAACAAAATCTTAAAACAGAACATATTCCCCTAGAAATTTGGGCTTCAGATACTGCTTGATACAGGTATAATTTTACAACACTATATCTTACTATATCTTGCTACATCTTGTTACATCACTCATACATTGCCAACAGATAACACAGTGTATATAATATAAACGATGACACACCGTATGTGTCCTGTTTTATGTGAACAATATAAAATATAAACGATGACGCACCATGTGTGTCCTACTCATCTACGTAATATACACTGACGCACCTTGTGCGTCACGTTATGCACGCAATAAAAAACAGTTGCACATTATGTGTATCCTATTTTATCTATACAATATAAAATATAAACGATGACGCACCATGTATGTCCTACTCATCTACGTAATATACACTAACACACCATGTGCGTCACGTTATCCACGCAATAAAAAACAGTTGCACATTATGTGTATACTATTTTATCTATACAACATAAAATATAAACGATGACGCACCATGTGTGTCCTGTTCATCTACACAATGTACACATTGACACACCTTGTGTGTCACGTCATCCACGCAATGAAAACGATGACACACCTTGTGCGTCACGTCATCCACGCAAAGAAAATGATGATACACTATGTGCGTCCTATTCTATTTATAAGATATAAAATATAAACAGTGACGTAACAATATATTCTATTCTATAAGAAGAATGTACACCCTGACGCACCTTGTGTGTCACAATAACATCATGCAATGACAACGCACCCTGTGTGTCACAATACCAACCAATGCAGACGACGCACACGGTGCGTCACAGTAGCTTTCACAAAATAAAGATGACAATATAACGTGTGCGTCTCTGTGACATGCAAGGAAAATGACGCACCATGTGCGTCTTACATCATCAATACAGTATACACATTGACACACCTTGTGAGTCACAATATCAGTAAACAGGAACTGTCCCATTATTACCAATGAGTACTGCAAAAATAAATTTAAAAATTCATGTTAAACTGAAGTTCAAGGAATGAGAGTAGTCTACTTATTATGACGTGGTAGAATAATTATATAATGGTTACGTTAAACTAAAACGGATGCGGTGTTTCATAACATTTATGTCTAACACAGGTACTTATTTTACAGACTTCCTGTATTACCTCCGAAAGTAGTTTCAGAAGTGAAGCTGATGTTCACAATATACGGAATCTAGCCACGAGTAGTGTGTCCGGATGAGGTCTTCATCGACCGTGACTGAACATTTTATGGTCGGTGGGACTTTCGTCCGTTTGCAAGACTCGATGAATCCAGCGGAATTATGCTATTTTAATGGAAATTTTGAGTTCTTGGAAATCAATTATGTGGGAATAAAACAGTTTGGTAGCAGATGCAATGTAACAATGTGTAATCACTTCGGATATTTTCCTTGTTGTATTTCAGGGAATTGTTCATTTGGAAGGATACGTTAACTCGTGAATTTTCGATGCATAATCTTGCTATGTGGCATTGAGGAAGTAGTGGTAGCCCATGGTAACTCACTTTATATTCCTTTAATTTATTCTGTACTTCTTGATTCATAAATTTACAGTTCAATCATAATCATAATTTACAGCTCTTGAAATATGGTACAGTTTCTTGGAAACGTCCACATTTTAAACTAAATTTAAATTATCACTCTCCAACTGTCTGTTCAAATAAGGATACAAAAATATTAATTATCCAAGTATTTAAATCTCAAAAAAAATCCCAAAGTAAACTGATTACCGTTTTCTTTTCCTTGTACCATTTTTAGTGTCGCTATCGCACTTACATGTAAGTACAGAGTACGCTCACATAGAAACGTGGAATACCCTTAACGTTTATACTGGTGGTAAATGTGTGTAGAATACAAAGTGCAATGTTTTCATGTTCTGACCGGTATCGTTGGAACCTGCACTGGAATGGCATCGTTTCGCTGGAACACGCAGCCATCACGCGGCATTCGACTGAAGATTATTCATGGATTCGTACCGGCTCAATCAGCCGTCGCATATACCTCTTGGTTTCAACTGACGTTTTAGTTATTCCTTCCTCGGACATTTGACAGTTTCGATCATCGAGTGTTGTCTCGTCAACCAGACTGGACCTGCAACGCAGCAAAACGTGAGTTGAAATTTCTGATCACTGATTGATCGATACGGGTACACAATTGATGAACCTGGAGGTTAACAAAAGTCTTGGCAACCGTTTGCTCGCATTTACGTGCTTTCTTACTTATTGCATGAAATTGGCACTGATAATCGAACTTGTTCGATTATTCATCCCGTATTCTGCAACATTTATCCAAATTTCATACATCAACTTATCGGATATTTTTTCAAAAAAGTGACAGATTTTTTATAGATGTTATTAGGTTTCTTAATATCTTACCAATATTTCTGCAATTTATTAAGTGACAAGTAAAAGTATTTAAGACAATATGATGGCAATTACAGTTGGCGATGTTTTTATTTTTTGTACGGGCGCGTGTACATCGATGACCGATATCTCGAACACTCGTTTCTTTGTAGTCGATATTACATAGTCCAACTGTCGAATAAGAATGTTATCCGTTTTTTGACAGAAATACTTTTTACTTTATATTAATAAATAAAATTGTTTTAATTACTTTGATTTTTCAAATGTATTTAATTTAAAAGAATCATATTCGTAATTGTTCGACAAATCACTTGCAATAATATCAGTGTTAGAATTTATATTATTATTGTTATTAGTAAATTATCCATATAAATAATGTCATAAATATTTTATCCAAGTATTTATATTAATATGTCTCTATTTAATAAGTTAACTTTATTAATTTTTTACGTTCAGTCTCTACGTATATATCGATTGGGATTATCGATCGTAACAATATCCATTCGAGATATATTTAGCTCGAAAAGAAACCCTGCTTAAAAACGCAGTAACTCAAGAAGTGCTTATTGAAAACTCATTAACATAATTATTATAATTAATTAATTTAATCGACATGTACAGACAAATTATACATATATAAAATATAGAAAATAATATAATTGTATATAAAATCATATAAGTATAATTTTATGTAGAATACTGTACATAATACATTAAATGTAATAATTAGATATTGTATATTTTTAGCAAGTAGTTACAAGTATTGAAAATCTGACGCAATTTATCAAAAAATTATCAAAGTTCATCCTTCAATTATATAAAAATAATTACGATGGAATGCATTCGTCTCGCTTTGCATCACTAATTAAGAGAAGACCGTCTAGGGATGATAAGATTATAATTAATCGAGACATTTCGTTCGAACTCGAAATCGAACGAATTAGTTATGATGTATGAAATAAAATAAAATATAAGTAAGAAGAAAATTGAAATTTTAATTTTGATTATTTTTTAACTGAATTTTCATATTTTTTGTAAACTGACTGTTGGCAGCTTTAAGTATTGCCAGCCAGAAGTAAAACTAGAAAACATGTCGGTGTCCACATCAAACATTCCGAAGGATAAATTGATTCAAGAAGAAGTCCGTTCGGAGACGAAGGCTTCGATGATTGTTAGAAAATCAATGAACACTGTAACATCGGTCTCCTTGGAAAATCGTCAGACGAAAGAGAGCAAAGAGTCGAAGACCGAAAAGAAGGAGTTGGAAAGCAAAGAGTCAAAAATCGAAAAGAAAGAATCGGAAAGCAAAGAGTCAAAGATCGAAAAGAAAGAATCGGAAAGCAAAGAGTCAAAGACCGAAAAGAAAAAATCGGAAAGCAAAGAGTCAAAGACCGAAAAGAAGGAGTTAGAAGAAACTGAAGCACGAAAGAGCAAAACACAGCCACAAAAAGAAAGCTTAACCGATTCGATACGCGATTGTCCGAAAGTCAAAAGCATCGAATCGAAAACCGTAGAAGTAAAAAAGGAAACGATGAAAACGGAAGCTAAAGCTCCCAAAACTAGCAGTACCACCGCGACACAAACCGTTGTGCCGGAATTCAAAATAATTCCCATTTCCTGCAAATCTGTGAGTTTAGACAATTAAATATTTGTATTTATTTTTCGTTATTTAAACAATTCTCATATTTTAAAAATATTGAATTTGTTATATTTTCAAGTTTTCTAAAACCTCCCTAAATTAAGGAATTTAGAAATTGAGAAATCTGGAAATTTAGTGGAATATAGAGATATTCCCTTAAATTTCTACATTCTTCGATTTCGAAATTCAAGCAAGATAAATTTTTAAACAACGAAATTTTTACAGATTCATTTTTTATTTAAGTAATTTGTCTATCATTTTTACCATCATTTTAAATTTTCAGAGCAATGAGAAGCCTTCAAACGTGGCGGTACCACGAAAATCTCCACCTCTGCTGATGCCGGTTCTCAACGAGCGTCCCATAGTTTTAGCGACACATCTGGTACCTTCGTTGCCGATCAGCTTGTTTCAAGTACTCGCTGAAGCAATCGAAGTTGCCACCGAGAAACCTGTGGTACTCTTATACGAACCTAGGAGCGATAGACCTGTTGCAAAAGAAGTCGTAGATATCGGTATAATAAATTAACGTAATCAATATAATTAACAAAATGCATACTAACTTCACTTATCACTCGTAGGTGAAAACCATCATTAGCTTGCTACAGTATACTCTCGTTATATTGCCATCGACAAGGTGCCAGAAGTATTGTTGAATGGACAATAAGCGGCTCTTCAGCGCCATCTTTTGTAAAAAATAAAATAAAATCCAATCCAATCCAAGTATTGTTGAAATTGGCAATATATTGAATTGAACAAAAATGTCCATCTCAAAGCTTTTACTAAATCCGTCTGAAAATGACAATATAACGAGAGTCTACTGTAATAACTAAATATTACTGCAGAAGTTAAAGAATTTGTTCTTCCTTTTTAGCTATTTTACCAGCTAGTGAAGAATGGGAGGATGGTGAACTTTTACCTGTAAGTTTCTGTTTCGAGCATCATCTGAACAAAGAGAACTCACCATGCGTCTATGCCGATGTCGTTGCGGCAACGGATCGTGCACCACACGTAAAAGTAAATATGTGCGAACTATAATTAAGCTATCTATTAGTTTACTAATAGAGTACCACTAATTTGCGTTTAGATTATTACTATAGATTATTATTAACTTAATACTAATTTACAAATATCTTACAATTGCAAGAATATCACGGATCTCCGTGGTCACAGATGCTCCCTGCCGGATCGGAAAAAGAATGTTGGCGCAGCAGCATTGTTATTTAATTTTTTGTATACTAGAGGTGAAAGTCCAGCCTTTTTTGGTAACACTCTCGGTCAGTATTTCGCTATTAAATACACTATTTTGTTGTTATAGAGATATAACTATTTGATTATTTTTTAGACGCCGAAACGCAGGTTGCAACTTTGCAAATGGTTGCAGGGAAGCAAGCGGAAGTTGGAATCCTAGAATCTCCTGTTATTAAATATCACAGAAATACTCTACCAGGAATTAACTCTCTTCACATTCTAACAAGTTTAGGCCCCTTACCACCTTATCGGATCATGGCTAGGAAATCACTTCCAGGTAGAAATTTGAATATAATAAAAAACTTAGTATTTCCGTTTCTACATTTTGATCTTTTTTTTTTTCTTTTCTTTATTTAATGAAATACATCACTTTTTACTTTATTTACAGATGCGTTGACCAAAAAAATCACAACTTATTTGCTAAACATAGATCAAGATAGAGAATGGCTAGACAAGTTCGCTCCCTTCGGTGTGACAGGTTTCGTGAAAAATTCCGCAAAATTATACGATTTCACTGATGCAAAATCTGTAGTCACAAGTGTACCATATTATTAATGATTACATTCCTTTTTTTAATCGAATTATTCAAAAGCATATATGGATATATAAATTACCTATTATTTTTACACTCCATTTACTTCCCATGCGATAAAAGTTTAATAAATACAATACAAGTAATGGTTTTTATATACAAATTAATTTAAGATGCATCTTCACAAATGATCCTTCAACCATACAATGATCCGTGATAAGTTCGTACAACCCGTAAAATCTTATAAAAAATTATTTTACAAATAGCGTAATAATTATTCGTGAATTACAACAGCCAGAAATCGAAGAAATATTTAATGTACATTGAAAAAAGCACATAAGCTTTATGAAGATCACCAAAAGTTTGAAGGAAGTTGACCTTCGGGCGGTGGTATCGATCCTTTCGACAAAGTACTTCTTAAAAATTCTTCGAGTCGCACTAATGGTCCACCACCGATACATCCTACCTTTTGCATGCGTGGATAATATTCTTCTAATAACAGAATTAATAATTTACGAAACTGTTTTGGGTAAGCGGACCACAGTGCACTTCCGGCCACTTCAAGCATGTCTAATAAAAGAGTCGCGCAAAGATCTGCTACTTCCTTCCGCGGTTCTGAAATATCAAATAATTATTGCATGTACATTGAACATTTTACTCAAATTTCTGCACAAGGTTCTCTGTATATTTACCTGCATTTAAAATAGCCGCTAACCACCGCCACGCACTTTGGAGTCCATGTGGATTACTCTTAACGATTCCTCTTCTTTGCGTTGTAATTGTAATCGAAGCGTACAGTCTCATTACACCAGACATTCTTTTCAAATATTTATCATGCTTTTCAACTGTACCGTCTTCCGCGTATTTGTAGCCCATGAGTTTATAATAGTTTTCGCTGGACTGTCCAACCATTTTTGGCATGAAAATAGGAACCGTAAATGGACAAATGTTGTGAAAATGTGCCAGAAGCAAATCACCGAAATCTGGGTGATCGTTCCATAAAGCTACGACTACAGCAGCAATCGGAAACGCCATTTTTGGTTTGCTTGAGACAAGCGTTTCACCCTGGTTCTGTTCAAGGAAATATGTATTGAGTATTCCAAAAATTTTTTAATGTTCTACTGAATATTATAGAAATTGTATCAAGTTACGTACCACTATTTGTTTAGCTAATATATTTTTACAAAACGCTGCTCCGTGCGCATACTGATTAACGTTTGGCGAAGATTTCCCAATAAGAAGATTGTGCAAACTTTCGTATTTATCTCTCAAATGTTGCTCGTTAATTCCAGAAATAGCATTTACAGGTATATTTATAGCTTTTTTACATTCGAATCTAAATTTTTTTGTGTTTGGTGATTGTAAAAATTCCTCATAATTTTTCACATAATTATCCAGAAATTTCTGACTATTCACATATATTTGCAACGAATCTTTATCTACATATTCGTACAACTCACCTAAATATGACAAATATTTATTATTAATTTATTAAAAGTCACTCGGAATTATTAATTACAAACGTGTTTTACTTTTTTCTTGTTCAGGAGTTGGTACACTTTCTTCTGTACTAACAGTGGGTGTTACTTCAGGAGAATTTGGAATAACTATATTTTGTTTCTCTTCTTCATTAGTCTGTGCAATATTAGTGCTTATTTGTTCAGGGACAACTGTTTCACAAACTGTTTGAGTATCCCCAGATTCTTGCTTTTGTAAATCATTAGGCTGGGTCTGGGCTTGCACTGTATTTTCCAATTTAGTTAAATTTGTTTCATATTGGATATTTATCCTTTCTAAAATATTAAATGGTTATGTCTCATTAAATACGAAGAAAAAAATACAAAAGATGACTCACCTATCTCTGATTTGAATGTTAGTAATATTTCATCAACTTGATAAATCATCTTTTCTACAGCATTCAAATCTGTAACAGTCACTTCTCCTATCTATATAGGACGTATATATTAAGGACATATATTTTTCATTTACTACATTACGTAAGTCTACTCTTTTATTGTATTGCTTACCTTGGTTTTTTCATCTATAAGCTCTAATTGATGATGTATCTCTTCTAATTTTGGAACATAAGAGGATAATACTATTGTGGCGGAGTTTTTGTCTTTACAAGTTTTGAATAAAACCTCAATATCATGAGATTTCATTACACACACATTTTTTAAATTCGCTATCTTTTTTGTCAATTCTTCTTTCTCTTTCATTCTCCTTCTACATTCTTCAATTTCTTTTTGTTGTTCATGTCTTCTACGTATTTCCTCCTGCTCTGCAATTCTTTCTTTTTCCAATATATATGCATAATTTTCTTTACTTTTTCTCTCTCGTTCTTTTGCCATGTGTGAACGTGATATTGCCATGTTCTCTTTTATAGCTTTTCCATTTTCCTTCATGTGCTGCCAATGACGCTCAATTTCTTTCTAAATAGACAAACATTAAATTTTAAAGATTTATATGTTCCACAATAAAATTGTGTTTATTTTTACAAGTACAATATATTACCCGAACTTCTTCCTTCCTTTGATATTCGCTTTCTATTAGAATTTTTTTAACTGAAAATGTAATGCCACTTGGCGTTGAGGTTTTGTTATTTGTTGGTTGAACAGATTTAGTTGGAGAAATGACATTACAAGAATTCTGTTCATTTTCTATATTTTCCGATTTTTCATGAGATTCGTTTTTATCGACGATTGAATCAGGACCAATTGTAATTCTATCTACTTCGCCTGATATGCGAGAAGCTTTTTTTAACGCTGATACTTTGAGACAAGTAAAATCAGAAGTAATATCGTTCATGTTTTGCATTTGCTAAAAACCAAATATAACGTTATAAAGACGCGAAGAATAAACAGCAATTTTTGTCGTAGTAATTACACTTACGATTTCGTCCTTCATATTGACAAAATGTGGCATGCTTGCAATTATGTTGCGGAAAATAGAATATGACGTAATAAATTTTGAAAGATTGAATATTTACAAAAGTTTACAAGTACAATTATAACCTATACTTATGTATATGCACATTCACATCTGTTTCATACATATGCAAACAAGTCCAGAAATTTCATTATATGTTGACATCATAAGTAAGCTCAAAAGAATTTAATCTCAGAATGTTGACATTTCATTCAGCATTCAAAAATCTTTTATCAAACATACCATTCACTCCTCAATCATACTAAATACCACCAAATACTAAACACACATGCAATTTTATATATGCACTATGTATACATAGTGTATGTGTATACTTGTGTAGTTTCATCGACATTACTGGATCACTCAAAGGAGGGCGCTTTTTCGGTACCGATTTTAGAACAAATGCAAACAAAATTCAAAAAATAAACAAAGAATTATAAAACATGAAGAAGTAAACATTTTCATTTTAGATGTATTTTTATTAATGTATGAATAATGGTTATAAGTAATCATATTTTATACAATATATTTTTTTCAATTTCAGTACTACTGCGGAATATAGGTCGTTAAAAGAATGCCGTAAAAATTAAGAATAAAATTATTCTTATTACCCTGTATTTGTTTCAACATAGTATTACAGTTATACCGAGTATCCATAAAAACCTAATTGTACCCATATTTAATTAAAATACAGGACAAATATGATACATACTTATTAATATATTGTAAATTGAAAATAAAAATGACTAAAGCAAACATTATAATAAATAAATAAAAATTAAGAGTTTAGACAAACATTTTATTGTTGAATCATTTTTCATTAAATTATTAAGTTTCTAATGTTTTTAATAAAATCTTGAATTCTAATAAATTTTTATTTACTTTTTAACTGCAGATGTGTGTATTTTATTCAAAGTAATTGCATCAGTACATATTTTAATTTTCTAAGCCCTAGTTATACACAAATTAATGGTTTGCTCCATATACAAAAATGATTAAATAATTTGGCACAAATTCCGTTTCATTTTACTGTTGCAATTCCTCAAACTAGTTAAGTAACTAATTCGATTCTCTACAAACTATAAACTACAGGGTTCTAAGACACAGTAGCCTTCAATGTGAGATATCTTACCGAATTGTGCAAATTAAGTAAACAAAATTTCTTTAAGTATGCAAGTAGATGTCATGTACCATTAAATGAATTCTGGAAATTATTAAGTTAAGCTTATAAGTCAAAAAACATTTTACTTTTGTTCTTCAAACATCATTCTCATAAAAACATTACTTATTGATAATATTCTACGGAACACTGAATCTAATAATATAAATTCAAGTTTATGTAACAAATTATTTGAATTATTCCAGTTGCTTTGCAACAGAAATATATGAAAACTACTATTAAAACTCAGTCTCTTCAATTCCATTATTTTCATATTATTCCAGTGTGCTGAGCCTGTAATTCCTAAATTTGTTGTCATTACTAAAATTCATTACTACCTATTCTTATATGCTATTGATACGCTCGTAAAAGAGAAGGTATGGTGTGGCACATAAGACTTCGATCAAGGATATGCTCTCAACTACGTTATCTGAAGTGTATAACCATTGATCAGCTTTATTTCCTCGTCTATAGCAAACGAAATGTCCAGAATCAACAGGCCCGCGATGTTCTACGATTGCACGCAACTGATATTTGTGTTTATCTTGTAACGACGTTCGATTAACGAGCAACATCGTTGCTTCAGGATCACCCTATGTAATTCATATTTCATCTTAGATCTTAACATAGATAAATGTACGTTGACTAAAATAAAATATAAGCATCTCACCCGTGCATTTCGCTTTTTCGTTTCTGTAAAAGTATAAGGATCCAGTGACAATATTACAGGAAATTTTACTGGATCATCTCTTTTAATCGGTACTCCTGAAGAACTCCACGTAGTTCTTGATATATGTAAGCATAAGCACTTAGGAAGCTTCCCTAAAGTTAAAGTTTTAGTAGCTAAACAACGCATTCCACATCCATTGCACAATACATCCTGAACAATCTCACTGGTTACAAAACGCGTTAGTAGTTCTTCCAAAGTGTGATGTGATTTAGTATGTGGGCCCAAAGGAGGTAGAGGCAAAGAGACAGTTTCAAGTTTATCATAACGAACAGCAGACTACAAAAACATACTTATATTCATTGTGTACTATTAAATATAGGGTGCTTTTGTCAAAACAAAAAAAGACTGACCTTCCATTTGCAACTACTGCATTGTAATTGACTAGTTAATAAGCCTGAAAATGGGTGCACTTCTACTGATATTAATGGAGCATTAAAAATAGGCATAGCACATAAAGAGCTCCATGGTTTAAATGATTCCTTACTATCTCCAACTGCCATATTGTTTGAAAGTAATTCTGAAGATCTGGCAAGGATCATACCTGGTTTATTGTATACTGTTGGAATACTTGCAACAGATGCCGTTGAAGACATAACATGATTATTACAATTTCTATCAAATCCATTTGGAATGTTTGGACTTTTATTAGCAGATACAATATCGTTACAAGATACGCTTCTAAATGTTAAAGGATCACTTAATTTTTGTACGTCTGTTGCTAATGTCGGACTTTGCGGTAAAGCATCAGACAAACAACCTTTCTGAAATAATTTTTATTAACAGATGTTATTTATCATTGCCCTGGATTTCTTTAATTATATGTATGCAGTTATATAAGTAATAAATATTATAAATATACACATGCATTATAGTATCAGTTCTTATTGCTTATTTTATTTTCACCAAACAAACATACCCTACTTCCAGGTTGAATTTCTGCTTGTAATGCACTTAGAACAATATGAAATAGTTCATGCGCATCTTGATGCCCAGGTGCAAACTTCCATAGATTACCAAGCGATGAAATTATTTCAATTGGTGTTACATCACCATATAATTCATCTGCATATCCATTAATTTCTAATAATAAAAGTATTTAGAATTACATTCTGCTTACAAGTTTTAATAACATTAATATTTTTAACAGGATTATAGTCTACATTGACTAGACTTATATGAATTAGTACATTTAACAATTTTGCTTCATTATGTTTACACTATTACTTGAATCAGAATTATAATGATCATATCTTTAACATGCTCATAATTTATAACTCATTGATTTTATAAACATGTTATGTACAACAACAATATAATACTATTAATCTTCCTAACAACAAATACTAGCAGAATAATTGATATCCTAGTAAAAATAATAACATACTTTCAAAAACACAGAGTAGCGATGAAATGAAATTAACTTTTCCATTTTTCTCACTCTGTTTTTTCAACCATCCAATAAAAATTGGACATGCAGCTAGAGCTTGTAAAAGAGAATTCAAAAAACAAGTATATCCTAGATTATTGATACCAATAACTTTTCCTAGAAAAAAAAACATTTACAATGCAGTATGTTTATTGTTATAAAAGCATTACAAAATTGGAGACACTATATATTCTACCTTTTTTTCTAGGCTTAGGAGATGGACCCCATAAAACAAATGCTGCAATCGCTATCGCGAATCCTACACTAGCAAGTACAGCAACTCTTTCCACATCCATGTTTTCAGAATATTCGCCAAAATCTGGAATTTTCTTAAGAATCGCAAACGCTAACCTTCACGTCAGTTTGAAGAGCAAATTTATCCATTAACGAACCGATGCATGTCTTTTCACCGACAATTATTATTTTTGCAGCATGAATAACTAGTTCCTTATTGTATTTCGAACTTCATTTGAAATTAACAGGTTGAGGACCGAATTATTATGAACAATTCGATTACTCCCATATATAAAACTTCTGTACGATAACACAAAGTATCAATGAATTTATTATTCTTAATTTTAGTTCGTTAGTTTCTAACAAATTAGTTTAAAAGTAACGTGTGTTTTCCAGTGAGATATTCGATTTTACAAATAATGAAGCGCAATTTTATGTACGCAATACTTTGAGCCTCAAACACCCGTGTAGCGTCGTAAATATAGATCTATAGATTTTTATTTAGGTTATGTTAATGTTGGTACTATAAGATAATTGTGACATTCTCATAGCAACACTATTGTTGACAAATAATGTTGTATTACAACAATCTATTATTAAAAGCTTGATAAACGAGGAATCATGCATATACTAAAGTAAGAAAGTTACATCAAGTGAATATTAAAATGTTCGTTTAAAGAACCGTTATGCTTCCTTTAGATATGTATGTTAATCCTAATTATATGCTATACTACAAAACAAACTAGAAGTCTTAACAGTTTTAACATAATTTGATTATTTTTTTGGCTAAATCCTAAATATATGTTGAATGAAAGATCAAACTCATCATGCGAGTTTTCATTCGTTCTGCGCATGTCGCCTTAGATTGGTCAGACGCTACGAAGGAACGCGCATGCGTATTTCAAATTTTTGCGGCGCCAAACTTATATATCTAGTGACTTTTCATTATATGTGCTTTTTATATTCTACATCATACCTCGATTTTCATATTCGCATATTTTAATTCACCATGTATATAGCCGAAAGCGTATGATAGTGGGATAATAACACCTGGCAGGGAGGCTACTGAAGTAAAGCGCGTTGCGCAAACTGAGTGCGATCTCTCGCTGTTTGAATCATTTGCTTGAAGTTGACTATCGATACTTCGATTGCTCGAAGTTTAGAACGATGAATGCTTCAGATGAATCAGTACGCGTTTGTGTTCCATTGCAAACAAACGATTCGGTGTGACAGTGTTACCGACATGTTTCTCTGTGCAATTTCTTAATATTTGTTGCTATATACACGATATTTGGAACTGAAATTTTTCGGTGAACGTCAGTAGCGCTCTAGACGATCCAAGTTTACTTTGAGGATGTTTATGTAATTACAATAATCCGTGTAAGAAAGTAAGTTAGGGTGAACGTGCGGGACTTGAAAATGTTCCCACGTTCCCGCTGCGCAAGTGTGTGTTGCGCGTGCGTGTGAAATTCTTCAGTACGAAGATGAACGCCCAGGGGCAAGAACACGGTCATGCTGTCGTTGTGTGGGAGTGGGAAAACCGTCACGGACGATGGAGACCTTACAGCCCTGCGGTATCGCAACATCTCGAAAGAGCGCATTGTAAAAAACTTACCCGAGTTTTTCTTAATGATGCAGACCCAAATTTAGATAGGTGCGAATTTAAATAGTACATGTTCATGCAATGGGTCCTTCACAAGCTATGTTCTGACAATCAGTAGAAATAAACAAAACATCTAACAATATGTATGAATTAAAAGAATGTTTTTGAAAAAAGATGCAATTGAAATATGTGATGTGGAAGGAACAATAATTAATTTTTATATACATGAAAATATTATGTATTAATGTTAGTACAATTTACTGCTGATTGTATGGTCACCTGCTTATATTGTGCTTTAATTATATTGTATAATTGTTTTATTTTAAATAATGGTTTATCCTTTCTGGTATAAGTTTATACGACTTTTAAACCAAGGTATAACAAAACATTTATTCAAAGAATTAATACTCAATTTCATTTATATATGCGCATAGTTGAGTTCTTATTATTCAAACTATAGTTGTACACTAAATATATATATGTTGAAGAATGAACAACTGGACACAATATAAAATATTGATAGAAATATATTAATATACTGTAAAAAGTTAAATTAACTTGTATATGTAATTTCACTTGTAATATACTTCAAATTTTATTTTCAGTCATACCTATGTTGAATATGAATATTGATAATGTTAACAGATTTATGTTACAATAAGAAAATAATTTTTATTTCAGTTTATGTATATAAGTATAAGAGGCATAATGGTTTTAAAATAAAGAAACATACATATTTATATTGTTAATGAATAGGTACTATATAAATTTAAAAACAAAAACACAATGCAGTGAAAATGGAGATGAAACACATAATGTTAGAAGGAAGTTTTATCTTCCAAGCTCACCAGCTGGAAAGGGAGCTAAATGGGAATGGGCTGGTGATACAGATGATTGGCATACATATGATATGGAAGTTCAATGTCTCATAGAAGAAGCATGGGCAAGAGTAAGCATAGGAGCAGTATACAAAATTTTTATCAGAAATAGTTCAAATAATTATTGTTTAATTTATTTTTATTAGGGGGAGAAAACTATTGATGTTTCTAAGACATATTTAGGTTTTCCTTATATCATCAACTTTTGTAATTTAACTCAAGTCCGTTGTTGTACTGGATATGTCAGACCAATTCGTCGTATTCAGCAAGCACCTTATCCTTTGGTTAAAGTTGCTTTAGAAGAGTTACAGATTATTTCTGGAAAAAAACCCACATGTGTTACAGTAAAAAATTCTACTACAAAAATAGCACATAAGAAATCATCTGCAGGAAATGCAAAAAAGAATAATAAAAAGGTGAGTGGAGGGCTTCTTTTAAAAAAAATATGGATGTATTTTTATATTTTTAATTATATATGATTAGGGCAAAAATGGTGATACTGGTCCATCTAACATAGCCCGTGTTATTTTGAGCAATTTTAACATATTTAGTAATAAACATGGCATAGAAAGTGGTAATTCAGTCGCAGCTATTGAATCTGGGCAAAAAAGGAAAACATGGGATAATGCATTGGATGTAGATTCTAGTAGCACAAAAAGTGGCAGAAGGCCTAGTGTTGATACTGTTTCTACATACCTAAGTCATGAAAATCCAGTAGATTTATTGGATAGCAGTGTAGGGAGTGATGATGCATTTAAGGATTCAGTTTTAGGTAATCTATTTATTTATTAATTTTTATAATTTTCTATTGTATATTGAAAATGAACATATTTTACTTTCATACAGACACAGAATCAGATGTTATTTCTCAATATGTGAAGGTAGTGGAAAGTGATGATTCTGATTCCTGTCCTGTTTGTCTTGGTATGCCTGAACCGCTAACAGTAGAATTGACACGCTGTAGACATAGATTACATTTAGCATGTTTAAATGCTATGCTAAGTTGTCAGCAACCTCCTATGTACATACAATGCCCAGTTTGCCGTTTAATTTATGGAGAGAAACGGGGAAATCAACCCCCTGGAACTATGAATTGGACAAGAATACCGCGTGCTCTTCCCGGTTTTCCAAATACAAATACAATTCAAATAACTTATGAGTAAGTGTATAAGAAAAGCTTTTTATCCTCGTTTGAATTCATTTGTATTATAATTATAAGCGATTAACTATATAAAATATTATTACCATTGTTTTCTGTAAATAGTTATATATAAATTTTTTCTATAGTAAATATGTACCTACTTTCAGCATTCCATCAGGAATTCAAGGGAACGAACATCCTAATCCTGGTCAAGCCTATTATGCTGTAGGTTTTCCTAGAGTATGTTACCTGCCAGACAATAATTTAGGTCGTAGAGTTTTAAGACTATTGCAAATCGCGTTTGAGCGAAGACTGATATTTACAATTGGGCGATCAGTAACCACTGGGCGGGAGGATGTAGTAACGTGGAATGAAATTCATCACAAGACTGAATTGGGACCATCGACATCTGGTCACGGTTATCCTGATACAAGTTACCTCGAAAGAACGTTAGCTGAATTGGCAGCTCAAGGTGTAACAGATGGGCAACTATCTTCTACGTTATATCAAGCATTACATTGAATATATCACATGCAATAATGTGCTGACATGAATATATTGTACACGCACAATGTCTTATTTTAATATTCTTTAGTTGTTTCTAAACAGATGATGAAAAACAAAATTTTGAATATGTAAGTGCCAAACGTAAGTTATATTTTTTAATTTTCTTTTTGTTGGTTTTCTTGGTTTAAATACTTTTAAAAATATATGAAAAAGAAATTAAAGTCAGATAAAGTTATGTATACTATCATGTAATATAATTTTTATAACTAAAAGTATATTTTTAAATACAATTAAGTCATAATGTTCATAGATATTTGAAATAAAAGAAAAGAGAGTATGTACATAAATGTAATTTAATTTTTAAATAGCTATTCTATATTTTCTTACTATGTTATATACTATGAGAGTAATAATGTTAATTTTATTAACTTTTAAAATGTTCAACATTTAAGAGTATAATGGATATTTCACTCTATTTCAAATAGTTAATTTTGTAACTAATTAAAAACCTACCATATAAAACTTATGGTCTATTAAGACTAAAAAAAGGTGAAATGAGTTGTTTTAAGTGTATACGTTTTCAAAAAGAGAAGTAATAAATTATGTTTGGCAAAGAGAATTTCAAGATGTTTATATCATGTTTGAGTATACATTACTTTGTTTTACTTTTCTTTATTTTATGGTTAAGAAAATAAAATACATTTATTTGATAAATATCAGCTGTATAATAATATATTGTGAACAAATTATATGTATACACACGCATTCCATTCTAAGAGATAAAGAATGCTGGAATTATATTTTCATAGCTTAAGGTTTGTATGTATCTTTAAATAGGAATAGTAAAAATACATTTACATAACTCATATTTGTATTTAGTTTTATTATAAATTATGATTTTATAAAAGATATTGAAAACGTCAAGATAAAGTTTTATTCTTTTTGGATTGGTGTATGATAGGTGGCGCGACTTTCAACATAATAAAATGGCCGAAAATTGATTTTTCTACGCGGACGTGAGATCCGTCAAGTTTTTTGCGTTTATTCAGGAATAAACAGCATTAAATGTTAATAAACAGTAATATTCTGAAACAACGACAATTAAATTGGTACAAATTGTGATTTATTTTAAGAACAGTTACCACAAATGATTCGTATAACGTGAAGAATCTGTACATCACAATATCTGGCGCAGAGGCGGTTGTTAAATTTCTAATGTTTTTTCGAAACAAGAATTCGCGCCTAAATGAGTGCTAAAGGGCAGCACAATTGCGTTTTGTGTGACTCGAAATTAGAATCCAAGGAAGCTTTGCAGGCACATTTTAGGTATTAAAAGAAATTATTACTTTTAATCTTACCCATAACCAAGCAAACAGTCTTATGAAATAGGCGATTTTTAGTATATGCAATCCATATTTTCATTTTATTGCGATATCTATGCACAGGAAATAAGTATGCAAATATATATGTGGCACAGATATATATTTTTAGTTCATATATTACAGTTATAATATTTTGCTATATTACCGGTAGAGTACGATTATTCGCGCTGTTTTCTTCGATCGTTTTAATTTTTTAAAACATATTTATGTTAATCATATTTTTAATAAAACAAAAGCTATTAAAATTCAAATAATACTTCTGTTATTATAAACAATGATACATGAAACTAAATGTCACAATATTTTTGAGATTTAAGTATTTAAGCAATTAAGCATCACAAATTTATTTAAAAGTTAATTCTTTATAAATTTACATATTTAGAGTTTTATATAATTAAAATAATAATATGAAAAGATGAAACACTAGTATTGATTCAAATTACTATTGTTTATTAAAATAACATTCTATGATTTACTTTTTTTTAAATTCATGTTTAAATTTTTATAATTATAATGTTTATAATAAATATTTTTGTTAAATAAACATTATACTTAAATTCAGTAGGAATTAAGTAATTTAACAAAATAATAAAAATTAAAGTAAGAATTTTTTGTGTATTATTATTCAAATTTAAAAAATAACATATTTATAATGTTGAATATTTCATCATATTTAATTTGAATTACTAATTTAAAATTACAAAACTTTTCACTTTATTTTATTAAAATATGACAAATAAAGTCATAAATTACAAAAATTATAAAAAAGTAGTTATAAAAAATTGAAGTAAAAAATTTGTACTAACACTTTAAAAAGTTAAAAGTTGTTTAAGTAGTGGCTATTTTTTCAAGAAGTTTAATTAACAAATTTATATTTTAATTATATATATAAAAATATAATTATTTATATTTATGTAGGAAACATGCTAATAAAGAAATAGATACTCGTGGTAGACCTGTAAAATCAAATAAAAATGCAGATACTCAGTGTGACATGTGTGGACAAACATTTGACTCGATTACTGCAACAATACGACATAGGTTTAAGGTCCATCCAAATTCACCAACAAAATTTTACTGTCATTACTGTGGGATGCAATTTCCTTTAAAAGTATGCTTTCATTTATATAATTTATATGCACATCTCATCATTTTCTAAATGATTTGTTACTAATTAGACACATAGAGATAATCATCAAGCATCGCATGATTCATCTGAAAGTGAAAGGAAAGAACAACACAAGAAATGTGAAGACTGTGATGTATTATTTTATAATGAGAAAGCTTTAGATTATCATCATCGTTCTATACATAAGAGGTAAAAAGTAGTTTTAGTCGATAATAATAGATTACTTAATGTTTCTATACTTAATTATATTTAATTATTCAATTTACAGAATGGTGCATCTCTTTCAACCAATTGCTACACCTCCTCCTAGCAATAAAATCAAAGTAAATTCAATGAATGATGCTCTTAGTGTATATTACTGCCATTTGTGTGGTGCTGAATATGTTATAAAATTTAACTTACAACAGCATTTAGAACGAGCTCATACTCAAGTAAAATAATAAGTAAATATAGAAGAAAATATCACTATATTTTAACTGTATTTATATGTTCTATTTTTATAATTAACAGGAAGAAAGAGAAGCTGTTCCTGAAGACTTAATAAAATGTACAGTTTGTGCTGCTTTGTTTTGTAGTAAAAAAGCATATGAAGTACATAATAGTTATCATTCACCAAATGATTTATATGTAACATCAGAAGAACAAAGGTTGCAAACTGTAACTAAAGTAGATCAGGATTTTGACATTAGACGGGTTGAAGGAGTTGCTGATAAGTATGTTCCAAAACCTAATACACCTAAAAGGCCTGCTAAAAATTGGTCAAAGGTTTGCTAATTAAATTCAATGCTTTGTTTATGCATTATAAACATTTTTGTACGATTAATAAAACTTATTTTATAGCCTAGGAAAACACTGAAAATAGAAACAAAAGAAACAGAAGATTATTCTTCTACAGATGAAGATGTTACTAATGAATCCAGTGATTCAGAAAGTGATCTTCCATTAAAACAGAGGATTTGTAGCTAACGGAGGTCTTTCATTATTTATGAAGTATTTCTAATATGTTTATAAATTCTTAAATATCAAAACTGTATCAAAATGTTATTGTAAAGTTGTCTTGCAAATTTTACATTACGCTACTCACTGTTAGTATTTTCGTACTATTATGTATGCATATTTTCGTTTATTTAATTTACCTTCCGAAAATATTTTTCTGTCTGTGGTATTATTTAGTCATTAATGTAAATATATTATCTGCACTTACATAGAATGCTTTTATACTGTTGTGCAAAAAATAGATTTGTACCTTTATAAATGTTTGTGTATAATAAATTAATCTTTTTACATATATAACATATTTAATCAAATGAATAGCGCATAACATAAAGTAATTAAAGCTTACATTAAACTGGAATAATAAAGCTTATACTCTGTACAAAAGTTACAGAAATGTGTATATAATATTATTATATTAGATATCATAAACAAATTTAATTCTTTTAATTCTTCTTAAAAAGTGATTTGATTTAACTAACGTATATCCTATTATTAAATTTATAAAATGTGTGTGCAATACAAATGAAGGAATTATATTTAGGATGAAAATATAATCAGTTCTATATTTAAAACCAGTTTTTTTTAGCTCAAAGGTGTTAATGTGAAATAAATCTTTGTATTTATAAAAATTTTAATGTTTTAACCATATAAATAACTATAATACTTATAATAATATAATAAAAGTAATACATCATTGAAGATTTGAAAATATAACAAGACCCTAGTGACTTTTATTTAACAATATTGGTTACAATTTCTTCCGTCAAATACGGAAAAGATGCAGTCGCCATTTTGCCGTCATCGGTTTTTACGTGTGTGTGCAGTGCAGTTTCTTCGGGACTGAAGTTCTTAATACGTAGTCACGAAGCGTTAATTGGCATATTTTTACTAATTTTTAATTGGTGAAAGTCAATAAGAAATAATGGGACGTAAAAAGAAGAAGCAGTCCAGGCCCTGGTGTTGGTATCCTTTTCCAAAATACCCTTTATTACGGGATACTTTACGTAACTGTATTTTTAGAATACAAATTGTGATTACAATCTCTACTGCTTATAATTACAAAATTAACGATATCTCAAGAATAACTTTGCTTGTATCTTATTATGATTATATTATTTTTTAATTTGAAAATCGTTACTATGCTGTAGAACAATTTTTTGACGCGCTAAGTAAGAGTATGACGGGTTAAAGTAACCAATTCTGAGGGAAATCGATATTTCGTTAGTAACTATATCCCCTTGTATTTCTTACATTACCATAAACAGATTTACTTGCGAAATAAGACACAAAAGTTATTATAAGAATGAGTATTAACAAAGTAAATTTTGTTTAAGATAAACAACCCAAAAATTCTATCAAGTAAATCACTGCATTACTCAATATTGTGTGCTTTCACAAAAATATTCAATTTGTACTGCAAAATACTATTTAGGCTTATTCTGTAACGGAGCAGTAAAATGATAACAGAAAGATAAAACTATGTACTTTCTACGTCTTTTAAATCACTGTCATCTATAGCAAACAATTATTTTCCCAAGCCATAAAATATAATTTTCAGCTGAAACTGATTCTTTAGATAAGAAAAGCTTATAAATGAAATGATGTAAAATAAAATTAAGTTAAGCATACAAAATTAATTTCATTACGCGTTATATCTTTTCAGTATAATTTACTTTGATGTAATAATACTTATTTAAATTACTTTGTTGGAATTTTAGATTATTAGATTTTATATAAAAATTATATTATTAACATCTTTCAAATATCATACTTACTAGAGGATTCATCCAGAAAGTTACCTAACTTAGTTTTTAGATCGATAGGTCACGACCCAATATTAGGTCACAAAATAATAGCTGGTACCCTGTGCCAATGCAAGAAGCCTGTAAAGCATTTGTTATGAATTCAAATACATTGGAACTGTTCTTAATAGAAATGTATTGACTGTTACTTTTTTATGTATAGAATTTATACAAATGTTACACAAATGTTATATTATATACATTTGAATCATGATACCATTGCAAACACATAATTTTCCTTAACAAGTATATTTAGGTATTGCAACCGAGAATTTGAGGATGAGAAAATTCTCATTCAGCATCAAAAAGCAAAACATTTTAAATGTCACATATGTCACAAAAAGCTATACACGGGACCAGGGCTTAGTATACATTGTATGCAGGTACTGTCATAACATTTTTAATATAATATACAAGTCATAAACTAAGTAATTATTACTAGTAATTATTGTTATTGCAATATTTTTCAGGTACATAAAGAAGCAATAGATAAGGTACCTAATTCTTTGCCAAATCGTAGCAATATTGAAATTGAAATTTATGGTATGGAAGGTATACCACCAAATGATGCAAAAGAGCATGAGAGGCAAAGAAATGGAGGCAGACCTGGTTCGCCAAGCTCTGGCGAAGACGAACCTGTTAGAAAAAAGGCAAAACCAGAAGGTTTATTGGGTTCTGCACCGGGAGCGATGCCTACAGGTTCAAATATGATGCCAGGCGTAATGCCAGGTATGGCAGCTCATCCTGGTATGCCACCCATGGGACAGTTCCCACCACCCATGCACCATATGATGGGACCTATGGGTCCTGTAGGTCCACCTTTCATGGGACCTGGGTATGTATAATTTATTCTTTTAAAACCAGACAACGTGAAAGAAGAGTAACTTTTCTGATATTAATTTAATGCAAGTTAGGTAAATACAATCTAAAGTTTTTAAATTTATGAGTATTATGAAGGAGGTATGGAAATATACAAATAAGATAATAAAGTTTATTTTTCTTTATAGTATGATGCCTGGAATGCCAGGCATGCCTCCAGGTATACAGCCACCTGTGTCAGGTGCATCTATACCACCCACACGACCGTTATTCCCAAGTGCCGCAGCTGTTTCAACAGCTGCGTCTACAGCAGTAACTTCTCCTCTGGGCACAGATTTTAAACCAATTACATCGGTGGCTGGCGGATCTATAGGGCCAGTTAAACCAACATTCCCTGCTTATAGTAATGCAGATAGTAATACTACTACTAGTAATAATGTTGGAGGTGATCAGAAAGTAAATCTTATAGCAACTACCAGTGCTGCCATTAAAATCATTCACCCACCGGAGGATCTTAGCCTAGTAAGTTCATAACTCTTTATTTATGGATTCTTATCAACCACAAGAACTCAAAAACAAAATTATTGTATCACAGGAGGAAATTAGGGCAAGACTTCCAAAATATCAGAGACGACAAAGTGATGAAAGTAGAGTCACACAGACTGATGTTAATCAACAAGCTGCAGCATTACAGCAGCAGCAACAGCAGCAGCAGCAACAACAGCAACAACAACAGCAGCAACAACATCAGCAGCAGCAGCAAGCCGTTGCTGCTAATGCAGCTGCTGCTTTTCAGGATCAACAACAGAGGCAGCAAGCTGCGTTGAATGCTCTTCAACAGCAGCAACAAAGATTTCAGAGACCTCCACAAGCAGTAATGGTTCCTGCATCGGCAGCGATGCCTGTTAGTTCCGTTGCGTTGATGGCACCGCTTATGCGGCCTACTATGACTTTAGCTGCACCAGCTCTGATTCATGGAGGTAACATGATGCGACCGCCCCCCATGGGCCTTCCACCAGGTAAGTCTCTATAATTAAAAATGCTCGACTCTATATCAATGAGAGCACCCCATCAGTATTCATTGATCAACGTAAATATCTGGATCACTCAATTTTTTTTACTTTTTTTTTCTATATGTACCCCTTTCAGTATCTTACGTTGAAACTGTCGAAGATATTCGGTAGGAAATTATTCCTACGTTGTAGCACTTTCATCCGCTGATATTTCTTCGATAATTTGAAGTTATGCTTCAAGAACAGTAAACATATCATGTTCAGCCTCTCTAATACGAGTTCAGACACATTTACATGTATGTATACATACAAATTTTAGAATGAAAGTATCAGGAATAGGTGACACATTGTACATTTGATAGAATTATCTACAGAATACTTAGTTAATGTACACCATTAATCAGTTATAAAAGTGACCTTCACTTACCTCTTAGAAATATTGATTCTAATCTGAGGAAGCTTATACGTTTCTTAATTAGAGAGATAACTTCGGACAATCATTTACCCAAAAGCTAAAGGTTGAGTTTATCCCATCGATTCGTTAGAAATATAGATCAGTTTTAGAGACAGATGTTTCCCATCTGACATACACAATATAATGTACCTTTGCACTTCGTTCAGCATTATACAGCCCTTATTTCCTGCTCCCCGACAACAAGCTAGACTTGCCCGATGGCTAGATATGTTATTGGATAAACCAAAGAAAAATGACAGAGGAAGACAGCTTATATTAAGGGGGTGGGAGTCAAGTTTTACTTAGGAACATGGGAAATGTTTTGAGAGTATATAAACTAAGAAAAGGGGAAATTAAAGTATGACTGTTCAGATACTAGCACGCTCAAGATTCATCCGTATGCCAGAATCAACGACAGCGTGTTTTGTACGTTTATGTTTTAACGGTGCGTTTGCAGGGTGCCCAGTCACTCCTTGGTGAGTGTTGAACGAACCCAGTCTGGTTACTAAAACCGTGTTTTATACAAGCGCAACAAGGTTGGTCCTTAGCAATTAGCATGCGGTGACATGGCCTATCTATCTCTATATATATATATATATACACACATACACATACACAGACATGTGCATATATAGACTGCGCAGTCCTGCTATATGGCCCTAAACTGGGTTGTCGAAGTGGAAATTAGAAAGTGGGTCACATGCGTATAATTCCTTTCGCTTAGGAATTTTTAAAGTTTCAAATCTAAAAATTTATGAACCTGCAAGTTGAGAAATGTAGAAATTCTCAAATTTAAAGAGATTCTCAAACTTTTTAATTTTTTAATTACATGTTTTGAAATTCTTCAATTTTTAAATTGGAGAGTGTAAACATTTTTTAAATTAGAAGTCTAATTTTCAAAAAAAGAGCTTCAAAATTAAGTATTTCAGGGTCTCTACATTTGAACTTGTACAATTTTCAATTTAATAGTGTGTAAACTTAAAGCCAGTAAATTCAAAATTCTTTAAAATCCAAATATGAAAGTTTTTAAACTTAGAAAGTTGCAAATTAGGCAATATCTAAATTTAAAAGTTTGTAAAAATGAAATTTCTACATTTACAAATTTCTGAATATACAAATTTTTGAATATGGAAACGTCTTTTGTAAATATAAAAATTAGAAAATCTGCAAACCTAAAATTTTTAAATCTTTCAGTGTGCTACGGTGGAGACACAGGAGTGAATGAAAGTCCATGCGGAGGGGAAGTGCCATATAAATGAGTGCCATATAGCGAGACTGCGCTGTACATCGTTATATTTATTATTATTTTCGTTAATTATTAATTAATATTATCATTGTCATCATTGTCACTCTGACATACAGTTACACATACACGCATATATATATATTTCTGTATATTTATATTATTGTCACTGGGCAGGTGGGTCGAGCGGCCAACGATATTGCATCAGTTCTGATTCCTTCAACGCCGGACAGCCACACTTTGATTTTGGACACATCACGACCCTTTGGACGTGAAATACCTCTTCTTGAAACTAGAGTACTCGGTATCGGAAGCACGATTACGCTAGATTTATATTTTTATAATCGCGATATACATATACATGTACTCGGTATATGCCTGCTTTATCAATTTACAATTAGAGACAATCGCGATTTTACAGACAACGTTTTTTTTCCTGGAACGTTTATAAAACGCTCTGTTGCGAAATTGATTCGATTTTCGGCCGCTCGGCTGTTTCATCGTATATATTATTATTATTTTCGTTTCTTTTCCGTTTCATTAGCTTCTTTATTCACTATCTCGACTTGATCATATTCTTCTTACGACTCACTTGCCATTACCTCGCCAACCGTGTTATCATCCTATTTCTTCATATTACTATATAGCTTGAAATCCTGGTGTTGTGATATAGTAGTGAAGAAACTGCTTTTTGGGCACGGTACTGACAGTCGTTCGAAGTTGTCATTTTGAAAAAAAAATGAAAGGGAACTGGTGCATAGTTTCAGTGATTATCCCTTCCTTCTTTATTTTATTTCAAGAATTTTTTGTACCACTTTTTGTTAATATATGAAATATCAAGTAGTTAATTGCATTGTTTATTTTAGTGATATTTCTTTAAAAATATAAACTCCAAAGGTACAGAAAGAGGGAAGGGATCATTTGTAAATGCCACTTTTTTTTCTAATATACGGTGTGTATCATGAAACAGACAAAGAAACGTGCAACAAGAACGAACGTAATGTATCTCCCTCACACCATAGCCTAGCTTTTGTGTCACACAAACGATTTTAGATAAGTCGAATCAATCCACAGTAAGTAAATGATTTCACGTTATCCAGTTTATATATGATTATAACTGTATACAAGTAATTGCAGTCGTTTTATATATATTTAACTATAAATGCGTCTGAGTTGACATTGTTAAACGAGGGGATGGAAATGTTGGTTGAATTTTACTCTGAGATATAAATGGTACCACAGGTACACGGAATAGAAAGTTTAGATTTACACTAGACTCTCGTTATATTGCCACTTTCACATGAACTAATAGTTCATTATCTTAACAAATTTTTAACTTGGATATAACTTTCATATTTTTAAATTTAGAAATATAGGAAGGATACTTTTAAACTTATATATTTTCAAATTTTTCATTTATTGTCAAATTTTTTAATTTACATGGTCTTAAATTTATATATTCTTAAGTTCTTAATTTACATATTTATAAATTATCAGTTGTATAAATTTACATTTGAACCCAGTATATTGCCAGTAATGTTTCACTTTCACTCATGTGGCAATATAACGAAAGTGTACTGTAAATACCAGAATTGAATATTACTGAGATTATTTAAAATTAACAAAGATCATATACAAATTAAAGATATAAATATTTATAACTTGTACAGGGTGTCTCACAAAGATTGTACACTACAAAAAATTGCAAACTCTGCATGCCAAAAGATTGAGAATTTTTCAAGATATAAATAAAAAATAATAACTGAATATTCATAACGAATTCTGATACACTTTTAGACATAGGTTTGACACATTCAAACCCGTGTAGTACACATTTTACATGTGGATAACAGCTGGGAACGTGACAAATATACAATTTTTAATGAATCGATGAAATTTGGCGTATAGATTTTGAAGTATTCGTAGTGTAGAATTTTGAGACATTTTGTATTTTTCACGTAAATGTTTTTGGAGCAGTGTCTCGGAAGATCGGCTGGCAGTCGAGCGATTCGCTCAAATTTATAACGAATCATCGTATGAGTTTTCTTCTTTGTATGGTGTGAGGTTTTGTGTGGTATCACCTTTTGTCAGTTTGTTGTGACTTGTATTTGCATATGCGGCACATTGCATGCTGAGCTCAATTCCTCGTATAGTTTGGTAATTCGCATCGATCAAGTGCTAGGTAGACGTAGGTGGGCTGACACTAAGGAACCCCCTACGGGTGTACAATGTAGATCTAGAAAACTCAAATCTTTGTATTTGTTTTTCTGTTTCGATTTTATTCATGAAGAGACATCGTTGAAGTTGATACAAGGACTATTTAGTTGATTCAAGTTAATTTTATGACGAGTTTGGCAGTCTCGCTATATGGCCGTGGGTTGTAGAGGGAAATTATAAGAGGCTATATAAACGGAGATTTCTTCACAATGTGTCTGATTACCAGAGGCATGTTAATAGTTCGAAGCAAACAATTTACACCTTTTAAATTTGTACACTTACAACTTTTTGAAATATTAAATTAAAAATTTTCAATTTGTTTAATTTTTTAATTTCCACAAATTTGAATTTCTATGCCTTTAAATTTGAAACTTAAAAAATTTCAAGATTTCTTTAAATTTTAATTTAAACATTGAAGAATGTCGAGATTTAAAAATTTTTAGAATCTCCAAGTTTTCATAATAGTAAGTTTGAGTTTTTAAAAATTTGAAGATTGCTAAATTTCTATACTTCATATTTTATAAATTTTTTAAATATTAATATAAAATTTGAATTTCTGATTTCATCAATATAGTACTAGTTTGCAACTCCTTGTAAAAAAACTTGCTCATAGTACCACGTAGGCCATATAGCGAGACTACAGTTTCTTTCTCTTCTTTCCTTTCATTAAGTTTTTTAATCAGAAACCTTACTAAATGATTTCTCTGATTTCTTAATCAATCAAAAACTGTCGTGAATTTGATGCGATTAAATACCATCGATCGGCTGTCAGGCAACTTCCCGTTCAGAAGAGTAAGAATTCTCTCTAGTTCGGAATACATTGGAAGAACAGCGACTACTTCGTACCCACACAACAATAACAAACGATTAAACTTCTAGCAATAAAGTTTCTTTCAAAATTCCGTAACTATCATGGCATACTTGTCTCCTGAACGTACGCGGTCTCCAAAAAATTCGGAAGCACCTCGGAAGACAGAGTGTATCAAAAAAAGGAGAGCAATGTGCGCACATGTGAGACATGTACGCATAAGCATACACAAAGTCATAGGCAGTTAATTTTTGTACTTGACAATATTCTGTCGACGTAAGTACACAAGAAGACTATCTTGTTGAGATACGAAAAGATTGCAAGAAAATAAGATGCGAATGAACAGAGGGGGATTATTTTTCAGGGTATAATTGACGATATTCGTTGTTTGCAGGAATGATCGGGGCTTTACCACCGGGAGCGATGCACCCGGCATTCGCTGCTCCCATGGGATTCCCCGGTGCACCGATGTTGGCGCCCATGATGCATCCACGCTTCAGATGATCACCTCCAATGGACGGGCCCACCCCGCCACAAGTTAATTTTATGACGAGTTTGGCAGTCTCGCTATATGGCCGTGGGTTGTAGAGGGAAATTATAAGAGGCTATATAAACGGAGATTTCTTCACAATGTGTCTGATTACCAGAGGCATGTTAATAGTTCGAAGCAAACAATTTACACCTTTTAAATTTGTACACTTACAACTTTTTGAAATATTAAATTAAAAATTTTCAATTTGTTTAATTTTTTAATTTCCACAAATTTGAATTTCTATGCCTTTAAATTTGAAACTTAAAAAATTTCAAGATTTCTTTAAATTTTAATTTAAACATTGAAGAATGTCGAGATTTAAAAATTTTTAGAATCTCCAAGTTTTCATAATAGTAAGTTTGAGTTTTTAAAAATTTGAAGATTGCTAAATTTCTATACTTCATATTTTATAAATTTTTTAAATATTAATATAAAATTTGAATTTCTGATTTCATCAATATAGTACTAGTTTGCAACTCCTTGTAAAAAAACTTGCTCATAGTACCACGTAGGCCATATAGCGAGACTACAGTTTCTTTCTCTTCTTTCCTTTCATTAAGTTTTTTAATCAGAAACCTTACTAAATGATTTCTCTGATTTCTTAATCAATCAAAAACTGTCGTGAATTTGATGCGATTAAATACCATCGATCGGCTGTCAGGCAACTTCCCGTTCAGAAGAGTAAGAATTCTCTCTAGTTCGGAATACATTGGAAGAACAGCGACTACTTCGTACCCACACAACAATAACAAACGATTAAACTTCTAGCAATAAAGTTTCTTTCAAAATTCCGTAACTATCATGGCATACTTGTCTCCTGAACGTACGCGGTCTCCAAAAAATTCGGAAGCACCTCGGAAGACAGAGTGTATCAAAAAAAGGAGAGCAATGTGCGCACATGTGAGACATGTACGCATAAGCATACACAAAGTCATAGGCAGTTAATTTTTGTACTTGACAATATTCTGTCGACGTAAGTACACAAGAAGACTATCTTGTTGAGATACGAAAAGATTGCAAGAAAATAAGATGCGAATGAACAGAGGGGGATTATTTTTCAGGGTATAATTGACGATATTCGTTGTTTGCAGGAATGATCGGGGCTTTACCACCGGGAGCGATGCACCCGGCATTCGCTGCTCCCATGGGATTCCCCGGTGCACCGATGTTGGCGCCCATGATGCATCCACGCTTCAGATGATCACCTCCAATGGACGGGCCCACCCCGCCACTGCACTTCGTGCTCTGGGCCCGCCCCTAAATTCAAATTAGGGTCCGGACCTGACTGAGAAGAGGAAAGCAACATGCACGCGTAAAACATGTTAGCTCGCGTGGATACACACTACGTTGATCGGCCGCGGCTGCACTTGACGCATCCTCTCCCACGAAGTCTTACACGAAGTTAGCAAACTCTTTGTTTTTTTTTTCTCTCTCTTATATATCATTGCAAAAAGAAAAACATGTCACGTCAGTGCCTGAGAGGGTTTACCAGGTGCAGTGGAAACGGTCGGTCGTACGCCTCTTCGTTTTCGCTGCCAGTAAACGTGTCGAATAAAACGGTCCTTCACATTTTGTACGTGTGCTCTGTGATCAGCGTGGTCTCTTCTCGGAGAGGCTTGAACGCCAGGTGAGCTACGATCAGTCGGGTTTTTGTTTATTATTTTTTTTTTCTTTTGTCGAAGCGATTTTCCTGCTCGTTGGCGTAACGGGGATTCCTGACCGGGAGCCTAATCTTTACTGATAGTGTTAACGATCCGCATTAGGCATGAACTTCTGGAGATTTGGGAAGCTGAAGAATTTGAGGAGTTTAAGAATTTTAAGGAGTTTGAAGCATTTGTAGATTTCAAGAACTAATTTGGAAATTTGGTGATTTAGGAATTTATGAAGTAAGTTTGAGGAACTTAAGAATTTAGGGGACTTATGAACTTGGAAATCGAAAGGTTTAGAAGTTCAGAGATTTGGAAATTTAGTGAGGACTTGATAATGTGAAATCTTTGGGATTTTAGATTGTGGAGATGAAACCTGAGAATTGGAGAGAAACTTAGGTGTTTGGGAACTTGAAAACAGTATAGAGATTTGAAAGTGTAGGGAATGTGAAAGCTTAGATAATTTAAGACTTAGGTAACTTGAGAATGGACTAGAAATTTGAAAATTTAAGAATTTGGAAATTCTTAAGTTTTGTTACTTAGAAATTGAAAAATTTGTAAGCTTAAAAATTTCCAAATAGTATGAAGTATCCCACAGTCTCCATTCCTCATGCCACTCGTGGAAGGCCAGTATATTTCAGGTTAGGTCCAGTCCGTCCCCAGTTACGCCACCGTATTCACCTAAAGTTTAATCCTGTGGATCTGTGGATCCTTGTTATCTAAGAGTACCTGGTATTCAAATTTGTAGTTACTAAAAAGAAAAACTGTTGTTGATGGCTGTGCGAGCACGAAAGCTTTCGCGTAGGAGACTAAAAACGTTGCACATATTTGTTGGCCGAGTAATACACAAGCAATCTTTCCGTTGCTCGTCGATATCGAATTACTTGATCGGGTCCGGAAGGTGTAGATCTTTCGACCTGGTCGGTTTGTGTAGAAGGAATTACTATGAAGGCCTTGCCGTTGTTTTATTTCACGGTAGACCGTTTCCACGCGCTGTTTCTCAGCCTCTGCACCAGTGTTCTCTTGGAGAGACGCGATCGCGGAAAGGTGACCCTTCACACTGCAGCCCATTAACGAAACCTATTTTAATCCGCCATTTTAAACATATTGTTCTATTTAACAAACGCTTTTTATCGTTCCTCTTATTAAAAGTCTGTATATACGTATTATAT